TCCGTCCCGACCATCTGTCAAAGCCTTGTGCTGCGGGCTCTCGAACTTCGCGCCGTCACCTCTCATTGGTCAGTGTTTTCCGTTAGTAACTTGTAAACAAAGCCGCAGATTGCATTTTCGCAAAGGAAAAAGTTACTTCAAATGACCTCAGCTACCCCTCATTTTCGGCTGTTAAAATAATTGTGGAACACTCTGTAGAAGTAATAAACTAGCAAATTGTAATATTTCTTCTCAATACTTATAATTTTTTTAGGTATTTGATATTTTTAAATGTAAATATTTTGATATAAAATTATTAAACTAACAAATAAATTATTTCCGTTTCGTATATATTGAAATATGAAATATATATAATATATTTCACTATGAAAAGATTTATTATAAATTGAATACTTTTGTTTGTAGGTAACAATAATAAATGAATTAATTTTTTCACGGTGACGAAAACTTCATCAACATAATTCAACGTTAATCGATATTTAAATATTGACGTTAAAATAGAAAATATTAATTATCTACATCTGCCACAAGAATAACTAAGCGCTACCACCTACCGCAGCAAACTAATACTAAATCGTTGTATAGTTTGAGCATTTTGCCGCTGTGTCTAATGGCGCTATTTCGTCTTTTTCAGGCGCAAATGATTTGTGCTGTTTTTAGGATTTCTTACGAGGAAAGAGATAAGAATCATCCACAGATAGTTAATAATTGAATTTACAGGAAATTTTGTTGAACATTTTCGAGTTCTTATAACATTTCTTTTGCTCACAATTTTTGAGATTTTGTCTTTTTTTTGTTGTTATATTCTGTTCATCTGTGCGATTTAATCTGATCGTAAGATCACAAACAATAGTTTGTTGAACAAATATTTTCTAAATGATATTGGAACGGGAAAAAAATATGTGAGGGTAAATAAATAACAATGTTTAGCAAAAATTAAAGTTTTTTAAAATTCATCTAACGTGCAGCCATCAATCAGCTCGATATTATCCACGACATTATAAAGTCGAGGAGGTTTGAAAAAAATAGCTTTTTCTCATTATTTCTATTCGCCTGTTGTTGAAATCACTCGTAACAGGAGTTCCTCGCTAACTTTCCAAAGATAGGAGAAACACGTAATAAAAACGCAGTTTTAATATGTCTAATCATATTTATTTGTTCATGTATTGTTACTAATAGATACTATACGCTTAAATACAGATGATGTATTGCAGAAACGAATATACCAAAAAACTTAGCAATGTACACGCTATTCAAGTCATTTTAAATAGATTATTTTTATCGTTTATCGATTACATCGTCCAACAAGATGGGGGTCTAGGGGAAGTGAGGAGGGGATTACTATTAAATATATTAATTTCGTGGTGTGTGAAAGCTCGACGATAGAAAATACTTTCGGTGTGAGTGTGTATGTTAAAGAACGTACAAAAAAAGAAAGGGAACAATAAAATCGAGAGGAAAGTAGGATCGAACGGGTGGGGAAGGATCGAAGGACGGGAGAGAGGATGGAGAAGATTAAGAAGTGAGACATAAAAGTGAGGAGGTGAGGGGGTAGATACATCTCTATACAAAAATAATCGGCGGAAAGCGAGAAAATAAAACGTTCTCACAGACGCTCGACGATAAGCTATGATACAAGTCGACAAGAATAATACTTTTCTTTTTTCAAACGAGATTAGACTGAACCGTAATCATCTCTCACTCGTCGCACACGCCTACGTCATTCGTACATTCATACGGACAGATTCTTCCGTCATTCGCGCTCTCTCATTCCTTCTTTCTCTCAGTCTATCGATCTCTCGCACGCGTGCATCCTCGCTCAATGACACTCGGCTACGATTAAATCGATTACTTCTCATCTGCGCGTTTCTGTGTGGGCCCTGTGTGATGTAAAAACGCGACTCGCCGTGATTGACGAGTCTACGTGCGTGTCCGAGTCTACGATGATCGTCAACACTACGCGTCAACGGTGCGGAACCTAAATCAATTAAAAACGGGCAAAGGGAAAAAGGAAGAAAACAACAAGAGATTGGAAGAAAAATCGAGACAACAAACAGATTCGGCAATTTCGAATTCTCGCGGCACACGCTGACGCTTCCGGCGTCGCCGGAACGAAATATCTTACACGTAAATCTCTGGTGCCTGTGCGCGCGCGCTCTCTCTCTCTCTCTCTCTCTCTCTTTCTCTCTTTCTTTCTCTCTCTCTCTCTCTCTCCCTCTCTTTCTATCTCTCGCTTTCTCTTTTTACAATGAAAAAACTCTTCATCTTTGGTAGAAACTACTAAATAAATATCATCGCTTAAAGTAAGAATTTCGGGGCGAAGACGCGCCACTTCCTCGACTCGGAACTGCCGATCGTTGAACGATCTCGAGTAAAACGGGATCGCCAGAGCTCACGGTTATAAAAAGCTAACCGGGTCGAAATGAAATCGGTCGCGTAAAAATGGAAACTAGAAAAATATACACACATATACACAGGGTGTCCCGCGGTACGGTGCTCGAGGACGCCATTACGGGTGCGCGACCAATTCGGATACGAATACATAAATGTAACTGCTTCGTACATGCGGTCTAGGCGGTTACGGTGCATGCGGCTGTGCGTCAAGGTACATATGCTAAAAACGAACGAACAAAAGTAGAACGGAAGTCGGAGGCATCGTTCGTTATCCGACGAACCGATCTTGGCCCCCGTCCCCGATCCTCCGACAGATTTCGACGACTCGACCGAACGAGAGAGACCGTCGCGGCTTTCCGGCTCGTTCCAGTCGAACGATGGAAAGCCGCCCAAAGACGCAAGGCAGATCGTGTTCCCGATGACTCCACTGTCCCAATCGTACACACAGTTTAGGTACAAATCCATCCTAAACGCTATGTCGCGTGAAGTTCGACGTAAATTAATCTACTTAAACCGTTTGCCTATTTACTAGGTAGCCTCTATTTTCGCACGCCACGTATACCCTTATTCTCTCTCTCTTTCTCTCTCTCTCTCTCTCTCTCTTTCTTTCTTTCTTTCTTTCTTTCTTTCTTTCTTCAAGGTTCCTCTATGTTCACCTAGGTTCTTGAAACCTAGCGCTCGAAGAGGATCCTCAAGGGTGCGCAGAAACGTGTTCGTCTCGTCAGCGAACTACAGGCGATCCGACGAGGAAGAAGACCCAGAGAGACGCATATGTCCTCTTTGCCGTCTTCTCGACCGAGAAACTCCGTGTTCTAGCTCGATGATCGAAATCATCCTGCTGCCGTTCGCCGTTTGTTTGGTCGTTCGATCAATTTTCGTCCGAGGACGCGGGAATCTCCGACGAATCGTCTCGGATTCCAGAGCCTTTGCGTACGTGTTCACCGGTGGTTCGCGTTGGTAGCCCCGGCGCCTGGATCACGGAGTCCTCAACAGGACGAGCTCTTCAGCTCGCCGATGTCGGCGATGTTCTGCAGCAACGCGGCTGCCTCACTGCTCGACTGGGTCTTCGCGTTGTACCGTTGCTTCAGGGTGCTCAATGCGGACAACAGTCTTGTGTTTGACGTCATCAGACGCGAATTCGCGGCGTCCAGGGCGGCTATTTGCTGTTCCTGCGCGTCGATCACGCGCTGCTTGTACGACAACGCGGCCGACATCTTCTGTTGTTCGCGACGCAGCTCCTCCTCCACGGAGATTAAACTACAATTAGCAAAAGAACAGCTGTTATTAGCGGGCACCGGTCGGGGTGGGGGCGATTGAGATTCGGTATTACTGCGATCTTCGTCGCTAATTCACCACCGGAGTATACTTTATTCCTCGAACAACTAACTACTTTTCAAATCTGTGAAAATTGTATGTATATTTTTTTTTTGTTTGCCATTGGCGAGATTCTTTTGGAGGAATAGAGGATACTCGATCGGGTAGTCAACACACACTGAGCTTCGCCTGTTAAGTCTCTCTGTCTTTCTGCGTACCAACTTTCTGCGCTGACGTTTTTAGACGGTGTTCGCTAGAAAAAATATTGCTGAACACGTTTCTGAGGAGGCAAAACAGCACCTTGAAGTTTAATTCGCTATTTTGGATCATTAGTTCTACCAAGTTGAACTATTATTACTATTATTATCATTTGGTAGAACTATTATTACTGATATGCACATTATCGTATTTCAGAAATCATAGTTTTATGGACACTTTAGGGATATGCAACTTTGTAAGTTTATAAAAAATTGAAAGAACTTTGCTTCTTATTACGATTTTATATTCGAAGAATATTGATGTGGAAAAAGATTTGGAATTCGAAAGAATGGCAAAGTTATAACACTGGAAATAACTGCATTTCGTGTGGGATAAATATTAACTACAAACATTAATCGTATTTTTATCAAACTACATTTTTTGCACCAAGTCAATATTCGGAAGTTGAAATTTTTTTCAAAGCAAGTTTTGTCTTAGTCAACCACTATTTTTTCAGTTCTAGGAATTATTTTCAAAAATCGTAAGACTTAAGGATCATCTATTTTTCGTCAAGTTCGTCGTGAACATTTGTTGTTTTCTAAATTCTGCATTATTTTCACATTGGACATAAGTTAACAATGTTCCACGAGACATGGAGTATGTAACAACACTACGTAATTTAATGTAATAAAATATATAAAAGTAGAGTTAAAATGTTGCTTTACCCCTTAACGCGCAGAAACGGGTACAAAATTCGATCTGCAATGCGATTCAATATTCACTATAATTATTTATCCACTATTTTTATTGAATTTTTAGTAATTTTTGCATTTTTTTTACATATTTATTGAAATTAAGGTCCAAATATGTATTTTCTTAGATAAAAAAAATTGATTTTTTTTGTCGGTTTTTTTTTTTTAATTAAAAAAAAAAAACCGACAAAAAAAATCAATTTTTTTTATCTAAGAAAATACATATTTGGACCTTAATTTCAATAAATATGTAAAAAAAATGCAAAAATTACTAAAAATTCAATAAAAATAGTGGATAAATAATTATAGTGAATATTGAATCGCATTGCAGATCGAATTTTGTACCCATCCTGTCTCTTATACACATCTAGATGTGTATAAGAGACAGGATGGGTACAAAATTCGATCTGCAATGCGATTCAATATTCACTATAATTATTTATCCACTATTTTTATTGAATTTTTAGTAATTTTTGCATTTTTTTTACATATTTATTGAAATTAAGGTCCAAATATGTATTTTCTTAGATAAAAAAAATTGATTTTTTTTGTCGGTTTTTTTTTTTTAATTAAAAAAAAAAAACCGACAAAAAAAATCAATTTTTTTTATCTAAGAAAATACATATTTGGACCTTAATTTCAATAAATATGTAAAAAAAATGCAAAAATTACTAAAAATTCAATAAAAATAGTGGATAAATAATTATAGTGAATATTGAATCGCATTGCAGATCGAATTTTGTACCCATCCTGTCTCTTATACACATCTAGATGTGTATAAGAGACAGGATGGGTACAAAATTCGATCTGCAATGCGATTCAATATTCACTATAATTATTTATCCACTATTTTTATTGAATTTTTAGTAATTTTTGCATTTTTTTTACATATTTATTGAAATTAAGGTCCAAATATGTATTTTCTTAGATAAAAAAAATTGATTTTTTTTGTCGGTTTTTTTTTTTAAATTGTGCATTAAGGGGTTAATATTTGCTACAAAAATCTTAGTTCCTCGCTAATTATTCATAAATAGAAAAAGTGTGAAACCTCCAAGGTTGCATATCCCCATAACTAAAAATCGGCTCATCCACTATTTTTCACGATCACACAATTTCGGTAATAAAATAAAACATTCCAAATCAGGCATATTCACAATTTCTCAAACCGACAATGTTTGATCCAGCAATAGTCGTTTCTCAAAATTTTGCAGTGAAAAACGAAGAAACACGATTCTCGAAGATGTCAGCGTTCAACGACATTGCAAGAAAGATCGAATCGATTACAGCAGAAAGTATCTCTCGCTCGTGAGAATCTTTGAAACCTTGACGTCCAGAGAGATTTCACAGGGTAGCTGGAGAATCCAAGCGCATCACGATGCATATGTAAGAAAACGAACACCAATGTATTACTCGGAAATGAAAGTCAAAGGAAGCAGCGTTTCAAGTGTCTGGTGCAAAATATTATACTCTCGGAGAACCAAAACAGAATGACGAAGAGTAGTGCATGGGTTACGGGGGGTTGTCTTCGATCAAAGAAGCAAGGCGTTCGCTGCTGATCGCAGTGAATATCTGTGACAGTGTGTAAGTGATCACTAGTCTAGAAACGTTCAGGACGATGCCTATAATAATCCAGTCTCATCAATAATCAATCTCGGAAAAAATTATCCTCGATCTTCAAACTAATCCTACAAACAATCGCTAAAAAAGAGTGAACCAGTACGTGGGCTTTATTTTGAAATTTATGTATAAACAAAACTGCAATTTTGTAGATTATCTGAACATTTTCAATGTCAGATCGTTATCTTAGATTCAATCTAAATTGGATTTTGTTAAAGCAATTTCGTAGGTTGCTGTTACTGAGACCGAGCGTCTTTCTAGCTCGTTCGTTATGAAAAGTTGTGAAGGTGGAACAAATTAGGAGATTACGGCATCCTGAACACTTCCGCGAAGACTGGCCGCACGATAGTCATTGGTTGCATAGTGATTCCGTGCACACGCGAGCAGAGAGACGAACGTGTTCGAGGCGTGTATAGAGAAGGGTTTCTCGGTGAACAGTGAGACTGACATGTGACTGACTGAGAAAAAAAATGTTAGTTGGACGGTGATGTAAGTATTGCACGTAGGGTGAATAATGCTTTCGTCGGGCGCATGGTTCAGAGTATAACTGGGTGAGCTGAATATATAGTAGAGAGATATAATAATTGATATTTAATAAGTTGTAATCTCGAACGTGGCGACATTGTATCAGCGAGAAAAAGAATTTCTCTTCGCGCGTGTTGTCGTCGGAGAAAAAACCAAGATATGGAGATTATACAAACATATGTATGTATATATATATATAAATATATATCTATAATATATATTATTATTATTGATTTGATATTGCGATACGTATGTATAATATATATTATATTTATATGCTAAACAACGTGATGTAAAAACGTAAGAAGCTTAGAAATATAATTGACTCTTACACCAAGGTCCAGATCAAGCCAGAGTATACCAAATGCAGCGGATAGAATGCACAGGAACACACAATCAATTAAACATACATATTATTTCGAGAACAGTAACCGTTCGACATGTTTCGCGTCAGTGTTCTTTCGTTTCCTTTCGTGTTTGATTTTCCGTTTTAGCACAGAGGGTGTCTCGCTTAAAGTGTGACAAGCTGTTTTAGCAAAAACTATTACCGATACACCGTTGATAATAATCTTCTTTTGTTTGACGTTGTTCGATGGGGCCTCTCGTGGCATACCGTAGTGGCCAACAAAATTGCACCATTCCTTAAAAATACAGTTCCTTGAGTATTTATGTACATTTCACATCCGGTAACTATGCTAAGCCGTTTTAATAGTTTCACGTGATCTGTTGCAATAGCATTGTAATGGTACAGACAGTTACTGCTCGTGTGAGTGGGAAACCATAGACAATTATATTTTTAAAGTGATACAATTTCTGTTGCCACTGCCGCAAAAGATCTTTGAGGCCCTAGAATTATTATACGAATCTTTTTACTGGAATTTTTAACGGTGTACTTTCTTCATTTGCATGTGATCTACGTTAAAATATGAGTGATCCAATTATATTATCAATAAGTAACGTTTTCACAATTCTTATCACTGATATATAAATTTTATACTTTGGAGATTGGATATAATTAATTAGTTTTTGTTCAATTCAAAGTATATTTCTGTAATAGTAAAATCGTTGTAAATTATAAAAGTCAACGAGCTGACTATCAAAGTATTGTATAATAATTTGTATCAACAGTGAATGTTGTAATAAGTTTTCATTAGATCAGAAGTACATACGGTCGATCAAGATGCTGGTAATAAAGTTTCACTTCACTAAATAGAAATAATAATATTGTTTTTCAATAATAACTAACACTGTTCCAAAAGAAAACTATTAAACAGGACATAAGATACAGAAATCGCAAACACTTTAGTTATTAGTAATAGATAGTACATATAATAATTAGTCTCATTTGAACTACGTAAACGAGAGAAGTAAGAGTTCAATAGATGTCAGTAATAGTTGACGAGGAAATAGCTACTAACACACGTTAGACAAAACACTCTGCACTAATATGCAAAATACGAAGTCTCAGTTATATAATTTATCTAATCACAACTGATTACCGATTAAATTTATTCTTTAGCAGATTGTGCTTTGTTGGCAGACAGAGCTGAACAATGAAATTTCGTTACAGAATGTATCTTGTAGAAAATTTTTATAGATAAACGATTGTATATTTTGCTATTTTTAGAGTTACCATCGATCTGTTATAGAAATCAATGGGTTAGTGCACGCTTTAGTCTCGAATTAAACGTTTTCTTATACATAAATATTGATTTTTCTTATTTCTTATTATACAATCTCTAAAAATACTGGACATTAACAAATACAGCACAATTTCTTCATGAAAATGGAAATGAATTCTAGCTCAATGTTGTAAATTACTATCTACCTTTACTAACTTACAGTTTTTATTGTGTTCTCGATGAAGTTATAATAAAGAAAGATTAATATTCTAACAAAGGAAGATTAAATGTCACCGTTCCATGTGATAATAGTTCGTCCCCATTTCCAAGTAGCGGCTCATATCGAAAGAACTGTGTATGGTCACAATTTTATCGCTATCATTTGTTTATCTTATTCTTTTAATGTATTTCGCTCATTCTGTTCCTACGAACTAAACTAATTCAACTTATTTTTTGTTTGACCAGATCAGAAACACAATAGTTATTACACATAAGGCACATATAATTGATTCGAATCACTACATCTTCTTCGTTCACATAATCATTTAAAAATGTTGCCATTATTTTGATAATATGTGAACACAATAGTAGGTAAAATAAATCATATTATAATAGGAAGAAAAATAACTCAAATAAAATTATTTCATTTTTGAAATCTGATAACATAAAGATTATATATTTGCCGAGAGTACAGGTATAATTAATTAATACTTAACTGGAATTATCCTGCGTGCAATAATAAGTTAAAAATATACAATAAAGTTTTCTTTACCAGAGCCTCCAAAAATGAGGCCTAAATAATGAAAAAATATGTTACATATTTCTGACTTAGATATGTTTTTCACACAGTTTCATCCTGTGCACACCATATATGATTTATCTAAATAGAACACCATTCAAATGTTAACTTACAGAACTCCATTAATTGTCAACGAAAAGAACTGAATCGAGATCAGTCTACTTTCTAGATACAGCATTCCCACCAAATACAAATCCAACCACTTCTATTAAATCCTGAAAGTTCCCCGCATAATTGACAGCGTTTAACATGAGCCACGTGTGCACTAATCCGTGGAGGTTGAAATATATCCAGCTCCGTCCTGCCTTCCTTAAATCGGCTTTCTCAACTGTGCATCGATCTCGACGAGGCAAGCGATGGGCGACAGTAAATGATCAAGATCGAGCCAGGGAAAAACGATCGAAATCGATCGACGGTTTCACAGACTCGGTTTTGCGTTTTGCAATGGCGACGAAGGATTCGCGAGGGGGGGGGGGGGCGAAGTGGGGAACCCGTTGGGGGACTTGGGATGGAACAGAGCTGAAGTGACCGAGTATGATAGAGACGGGTTATAAGAAGGCCTCGAGTGAAACGCAGGGCAAGAGAAATGGTTACCACGATGAACGGGTACAGAGGTAGGTAGGGTATCATAGGTCACACTCAGGCAAAAGAATCAGTCGTTGGGTTAGTTGGCCGCGTTAATCAGGATTAAGTACCTGGAGATGATGCTCTTCATCTTGGTATCCGGTGCAACGCCTTCTATATCGGTATCCTCGGTTGCGCCTAACCGGGCCCTCAGTCGATCTACGCTACTCTGCAGCCTCTCGATTTCCACTTCGTACTGGAAACGAAGAGACGTGGCGTTGTTAGTTACAAGACACAGACACAGATAGACAGACGGTTGAGAGACAGCCTAGCCGTTCCGTTAGATAGTATAAGAATAAAAAAAAGAGACGCGAGCGCGAGAGGAACTTGTTTGTTATCACACACATAGCATTACTCGGCACAATATTATTCTATTTACAGACGAGAGTTAAGGCACGAGATTTTAGAAGTTCCTCTTGCATTTGATTAGAACCGTAAGAATTTTCGACGGCTGTTATACTGATTGCCCGGCCGGTTCCTTGATTCTGGAAATGGTGCTGGAAGAATGTGCTTCGGTTTGGTGAACTTGGTCCTTCGACGAATGAAGTTCAATCAAATTGTCATTATATTTTACTCGTTTGATTATGATGTAGATGTCTACGGACTGAAAGGAGCAACAAAACCACTTTTTCAAGATTACTTAGTTTAGCCATTTTAATTACCTTCCTTATTGTTAGTGGAAATCAACTGACAAATATAAATAAGTTTGTTTCGAATGGTTTCAATTAATACAGTGTAAATTGTCGAAAATAGCCACGGAGATCTACAATAAATATATAATCTTGAACAAACATCCTCAATCTACTTCGTTAAAATTGATTTTTAATTTTTCTACACTACTTTATCAGCTTATCATATGAACAGAAAAGATTAATGCATCTATAAAATCTATACAAATCAGGAAAAACATTTCCAGCCTTCATTCGTCGTCAAAGGAACCAGGCAAATTACAACAAAACAGAATAATAATAATTTACCTGATCGATGCTACGGTGACTACGCGATTTGCTCCTCCTAGTGGTGCAGCTCTCCTCCTCACTAGTGTCGGACAAATCCCTCGTCGAGTCCAACGACAACCTCCTCCTGAGCTTCGTGCAGCAGACGCTCTGATTCTGTTCCGAGTTATTCCGATGCGTCTGGTTGTTCTGCCTCCACTGATTCTGGTTGTTCCTCTGGAGATTCCTGACATTGTTCTGTGGTGGGGGAGACGGGCTAAGGTCAACACCTCTGACACCCTCGACCCCGCCGCCGCTTCCGTCCCTCTCCTCGGAGCTGCTGCTTCCTCTCCTGCCGCTTCTTCCATGATTCGGCTCCATGTGATAAACGGGATTTGCGAAAGCTAGTGGCGCTGCACTGAGTATATGCGCGTTCGCATTATTGCTGCTGAGGTCCACGGGGCTGGAGCTCTGACTATAAGCAGCGAAACTCTGGTAGCCTGAGGAGGCGACGTTGCTCAATTGAGAAATAGAGATCTGGGAGCCCTTCTGAGACTTGGACTCCGAGACCTCGTCGTCGGCGTACCTCAACAGGTCGGACAGCTCATCCAGGTTCCCATTGGCAGTCGTGTTATTGGTCTTACTGTTATTGTAATTGTTATTCGGTTGGTGGTTGATGGACAGTGTCAAATTGGACGTCGGGTTCACCACCACGTTGGCGTTCACCGTGGTCTTCGAGACGTTGTTGTAGTTCTGATGTTGAGTCTGGTTAGCGTTCTCTTCTTTGTTGCAGTGGTTCCTGCTAGCCGATCTAGAAACGTTGTAGTTGTTATGGTTGTAGTTGTCCTCTCTGTCGTGTATGTCCAGGTTTTGCAGTCGCGCTATGTTGTGTCTGTGGTTCTGCTGTTGCTGTTGCGCTACGATCGTGCAGATGTTCGGCTGGTTGTTCTGCGACGTTGTGATATTGTAGTTCGAGTCCTTCAGGTTGCTGTGGCTCTCGGATCTTGTTGGGCTGGTGGGATGCGTCTGGCAGTGATTCACGTTCGCCAAACTCGCGCTGGCGGTCAGTCTGTATCCCGCGGTGGCCCTGTTGGTCCCGATTCCTCGATGCTGTCTCACGATGGGCGTTGGAGAACGAGACACAAACGCCGGCGGCTCCAGAGGGTAGTCGTCAGTAGTGATCTGCAGCTGGAGCTTCCCGTTAGCTGGCATGTACGCGTTCCGAGGAAGAGTAGCGGCTCTGGCGACGTTAGGGCTGCGAGAGCTGTTGTGGCCCAAGGTGTTCGATTGCAACACCTCGTTGCTGTCCCTGATTGTCCCATTTAGGGTACTGTGGTTACTCAACGTTGATGTCGCCGATACCGAGAGATTCGTATTGCTGTTCGCGATCGTCGGATCGTTGTAGCGGAAGATGTTATTCTGTAGGTTCGGGTACCGATGCGATGTTGGTACTGGACTTGGACCCGGTTGGTCCAAAGCTAACGAGATCCTATCCAGGATCTCCGGAAGCCTGGACGGGGGCAGTGACGTCGAGGAAGATGATATCGTGACTAAACTCTCTCGCAGTAGCGCGTGTAACAGAGACAATTGCTTGCCCAGATCTATGTAGCCGTCGAATTCTAGCGAATTGTTCGCTGGCGCGTCTTTTGGCAGCGGGCTCTGTAACAGAAAATTCGATGTATCAGTGAAAAGGTCTATTCTTTGAGATTTTATATTAAGGTATGATGATGTTTTAAGCTGGTTAGGGATGTTTTTCTAAAAAATTTTATGGTACTTTTCTATTTTGTGAAAAGATTTATGTTTGCAAACGGGGAACATACGCTGATCAATTGGAGGAAGTTCTTCATGGAGGGAGCTTCTCGCTCGAGCAGGTCATTCATAAATTCCATGAAGTTCTCTTTCCCTTGGAATCTCGTGAAATTCGCGAGTGTTTGAAGAGTCTTGGCCACGAGGGTGAGATTTCTTGCTGCCTTTTCGTTCGGATATTCTGCGAAGAAGAATAGTTTCGTTTATTTTCAACACTTCTTACTCTTCAATACACCATAAATCTTTACTTTATCTTATGTTCTATACGCGCTCTTGTTGATTAGGTATTAAAAATTTGATTGACGAGAGTCTGACTGACTAGAGTGTTACAATGAAAAATGTTTCAATATGACGTTGACGTAAAAGTCTAGTGCCACTGAATGTTGATACTTTTACATTCTGTATAATCTCACAAGTTAAAACAAATTAAATAGTTCGTATTAGTTGAAAATAAATCCTATTGATGTTACTGATAGAAACTAGCGAAACTAAAATGAAATGACTATCAAACTAGCATGAACTAGTACGGAAGCTTTGTCACCTAAAACCAGCAAAATTTTAGACACAGTACGTGATGAAGATGCAGACTCACCGTGCGTTATGTTGAAGAGAGACGGGCTTAGGATAGCTGGACACAGGAATCTAAGAAATATGTTCGCGGAGATTAGGTTGTCTGCGATGTCCTCGCGGCCCATGTCGGCCAAGCGTTCGCGGAATATACGGAAGCACTCGCGTAATTCGAGAGGAAAATGTGCGTGGCTAGCCAGTATCCTGCCCCAAGCCAGGTCTACTGCGTTCCGTAAATTCTGTTGTTGTTTGTGTAGAGCCGCCACCGATGCAACCTTCAGCGGGTCCACCTCGCAGTCGCCACCCTCTACTGCGCTCCTGACTACAGCACCCAAGGTCTCCTGCAGGTACCTGTCGCCCGTCAACTTCAGATAGGCCTCCATCGCCTTCGTGGCTAAGGAATTTCCTCGAAAGGTGAGCCTCTCGTCGTCTGAAATTCAATACAATTTTTAGTAACTAAACCATTCGACTGAAGGCCATTGTCATAGATCGTTTGCGCCTTTCAATACTCATTATTATACTGTGGATCTTTACGTAAACAGTTTCTAAAACAATCGTAAGAAACAGAACTTACATAATAATGTATCTTTTGTTTTCATCATTGCAATGAGTCTGTACTCTTAACTGACTGTGGATCTTTACTTTGCATAAACATTTTCTAAGACAATCGTAAGAAGCAGAAGTTACATAACAATGTTTCTTTTCTTTTAATCCTTTCAATGACTTTGTATTCTTAACTTCTGCTCCATTCACAGTTTTGTTCTTTCAGGTATCACAGGAAGAATAATTAACATCAGGTATTTCAAAAATTCTTAAAAAGAAATATGATCTGTTGAAGCTACCAAGACGCAAATTTTTCCAGAATTATAATCAACAAGTTAGCTTTCGATATATTAATCGTTTGTCCAATGTAATAATTTGCCCTCACGACTGCGTATACAATTTTTAAGTACTTTTTTCTGCGTTGTGTTTCCACAATAATTTTCATTGTACAGACTCGTGACGCTAAAACAGCTAGCACGCGATAACCCATTTTTCTTGATAGACCCAGGTTTCCAGAGGAATAAAATTGACCCGTTTGTTCATCATGAATCATCAGCGACCATATCGAGGCAGGTTTTAATGACAGTGTAACACACCTATTCTGTGTATGTCCATCATGACCAAGTCAGCAAGAAACTGTGGCGCTTTCTTTTCCCGTTGCATGACAGCCACCAACGCGGTGGCGATGTCCTCCTTCGCTTTCACGGCGATCACCGGCTCTAATTTCTCGCAGAGTGACTTGTAATCCGACTTCAAGTATTCCAGGAACTCCTGGTATACCTGCACAGGCAATATATCTACGGATTGGAAGCGGCATTTTACCCTAAGCGTCGGTGGTTCCTTTAATGGGCCCTTGTCTCCAACCACCGGATACCACTTTTCTGTTAGATAACGCGACGTCACGTTGTGCACGGGTATGCTGACGGAACCTGAGAACAATTCCAAACATATTTGATTATTAATTAATCATCGTGGGCCACTATGGTCAGAAAGTTTGTAAATGTTATTCTTCAGAAAATTATTTGCGATATTCTGTGATTTCTAGGATCGCAAGTTTCTAAGAATGCAGGCGGTGACTTTCGGTACGTGATCACGCATAATAAGAACGAGTGATGCATACTTAATCGTAGGAAAATTCAAGTTGCTTTATGTTATTGGTCATCGAAAGTAGTTCACATGACAGTAACATGAGGTTGCTAGTTGCCGCGATTGCATCTACGTGTTACTCAACAGAGAAAGTATTATATAATTCGGCCTGAACTTTGAATGATGAAATTCCAAATCGTTCCGATGCTATTTAATTGAAGAATAAAATGTCTCGCATAAACATTAAAAAAACTATCTGAAATACCGTATGGATAAACCAAAGAGCAGTGTATTGTTATAATAATCTACAACAGGGGTGTCAAACTCGCGGCCCGAGATGAACATTTTTTATGTCAAGTATCAGAACGTAAACAATAATTTAACTTTATAATAAAAATATTTGTTTCTATGAACACTGATCTTTTTTTTGCGGCCCACCTAAAGTTAAGCATTATTTATTTATTATTATGGCCCAAGTTAGCTTTTGAGTTTGACACCCCTGATCTACAATATCACGACTTTTAGGTGAGCTAAAGCACTGAATATAAACAGAGATAAATATAAAATAAATAACTATTATCAAAACATCGTTACAGAAAATTATAACAAATGCTCAAGACAAATGATGTCCATTATCTTTTGTCAAGTTATCGTGTAAATGAACTACAACTATTTTTTATTGCAATTATTTATCGATTACGTCTATTTCCATTTGTCTCTGGTGCTCAAGGCCACATGAAGGTCGCGATTGTCATTAAATTCGTCTAGACCACGACATGATGATAATAATTATATGATTCTATAAATACTTTTAAATTGATACGTTAATTAAATGAAATTACAGGTTTGTCTTTTAATTTGAAGAAACCCTTTTCTACAATGTTGATGAGAGAATTACGAAAAAACTGCCATACCGATTAGAACATTCTTGTCTCTCTTCTTCTTTCGGTCAGCTTCCCTGTATAAGTTCACTTGTATGGTGTTGACAGAAGGCAAATGATGGAAGTCGAAGTGTTCGCCCCAGAAGCAGAGGTCTGCCTTCAATTTGGCGGTGGTTCGCGCGTACAGGGTGCTGTCTAGGCAGACCTCGCAAAAATATCGCTTCTTCGCCGCCACACCTTTCGCCTCGAGCAGCCATATCTGCAGAGAATTGTCCGTACGCCTTGTTTGCTCTGCGTCCGGCTGAACGGATTTCCTTAAACTGAATTCGAAACACAAATCAGGATTTTGAACTTTTCGAGTAACGTCGAAGGGAAACTACAACTAAACTCTATCTTTGTAAAAAACTGTGTACCTTGTCATTGTATTTCTCTTCAAATTTTAAAGCTCTTTCAATCTTCAACCATGCATTCTACTAATTATGTCCACTACTTTCGTTCATTCGTTTTTAAATTTCAAGAATTATTGGACTACAGATTTCGTGTACGTATTGCAAAAATTGATAAGTGAAATAGAGAATAGCATTTTCAATTGAAACACTATTATCAATTGATGAGAACTATCTAAAGGAAAAATACATTTTTATTTAACTCTTGTTTTATAGAATTGTTGCAGAACATTTCCATTTTGCATAAAGACCCGCAGTCTAATAATTATACTGTGTATATTTATTAGAAACTTTCTTAATTTTCGTTGCGTACTGCTCCACTTGAAATCCATAATTTCAGGAAACACCATAATACACCTTTTGTCTTTTAGAATTCAAACGACTGGCAAAGAAAACTGATATTAGTAGAATGGTATTCTTTTATCTAGATGGCAAGCTAGCTAACTAACTAAGTTTTAACGTTTCAGTCAAAACATTTTTTAATGAATTCTCTCAACAATTTTAACATTAGAACTATACGAAGCCATCTCTCTCAACGTGCCTAATATGTATTGTTTTGTAACAATGGCAAGGTTGGATTTATTTAAACATCATATTATTTCTATTATAATATGTATAAGCTTGAATAAAGAATTTTATCTCAAAATTTCTCACATAAACATGTTTATAATGTCAAGAATTGTAAAAGAAAAAGTCAGTCGTTTTGACTGATTACTCTCAAGGGACTCAAACTTATTCAAATCAATGTATCTAATCCAAATAAAAAATAACTACATTAAATGCATCATAATAATAAGAAAATGGCAGATGAAATTGTCCAAAACTGAATTTTCTCGCAATATACTCACACGCAGTTTCACTAACCAATTTGTCAATGTGATCAATTACTGAACATTGCTTATGTTCGGTAATATTAAACAAAATATTAAATATTAAACAAATAATATTAACACTAAACCTACCAAGCAGTAATACTAACTGGCGTGTACTGCTTCACAAAAGTGAGAGAACCGAATTTATTTAGAATTTGTAAAGTCTTTATTATAAAACTTGCTCCAATAATATAACTTATTCAAGCGTTTTCCACGAAAGACTCTCGGAACTTTGCAGAATTGCAAAATAAGAAAGCGGTCACTTTGATCGCGGTAGGTTTAGTGTTAAAATAATATTAAACAAACGCCGTAATAAACATACTACGTCCGGATACTTTTGAACAGTAATGTAGCCATATAATCGAGCCGCGTGAACACGGCAGTGTTAGGACCACGATCTCTGACACATCGCCTCAAAGCCAGAGCGTATCCGCACGGGACGGGAATAAAAATCTCGGCGCTTTACTCTCAAACGGAAACCGCTTCGAATTCGTCAGACCGCATGGGTTCAGGATTCTCGGTCGGCTGTGGCTTGTCGAGTAAAAAACAAGCGAAAGAAGAGACAGAGGAACGGTACCAACCTGTGTAACCACTGGTCCCGTTCGTGAGCGGTCCTGCAACTGAAATACTTGGGTCCACCGGTGCTGGGTGTGACCTGGAAGCAGTGAGGTCTGCCAAGCAGGCTCGGATGCAGCGGTGTCACGGCCGCGAGGTCCATCGAGGTCACCGCCTGTCCGCAGAGGAGGGACTCGTGTGAACGGCAACCCCGAAGTCCGGCGCCGCGTTGCTTCTGTCGCTCGAGCTTCGTCACGCTCTTCGTCCTCTTCAGCGGGTTCGAGCGGAACGACCTCTTCGAGAAGAAATTCTGCAAACGGAAAGAGAACAGCACGGTGAATGCGTGTCGCGTGGCGCGGTTAGTGGAATAGGGTTCTTCGTCATAATCATGGCTTAGGTACTAGGCTTACTAGGCTACCTTTATGTTGTGATCTGTAAGAGAATGTAGATCGACAGGTGTTTTATCTGAATCCTAATTTATCGACTCTTATCGAAATTTATTATTATTTATTGTTAAACAATTTAACTACGATCTATTTCGCAGCTACGATAATTAGCACTCTTCGTCCTTGACACTATGTTCACGGAACACTAAGAGCAGCTTTGTTTGACATTGTTTCATAAAAAGAAGAATGTATTTATTCAGATTTTTACCGATTTTTATGATTTTATGCAGTAGTGAGGATAATTATAGACTCAAAGTAACGTTTATATCTCTTTAGTGATATTTAAATAAAAACTTAAAAAAATATCATACTTGTATATTTTTTTATTGGATATGATAATATAAAATAGAAATATACAAATATTATTCCCTTTTTGGTTTTCGTTTAAATGTCAGTAAAAATGTAAAAGTTTAAGTTTAAGTTTATAATTATTTACAGCACTGTAGGTAGCCCCTTTTAGCTGAGTTTTCATTCTGTATATTAAAAGAAAATAATAAAATATATTAATAATATACAAAAATATTAATAAATAATAATATCAATAAAAATATACAAATATATTTGTATATTTTTGTATTGGACATAATAATAGAAAATAAATCGCAGCAGGATTTTGACCAGATGTATTTAAATCGTCGGTTCATTACTCGATTTTTGGCAGTTGAATTAAATACAATAAATTGCTGTTATATTAGTGACATCAGAAAGACTAATAGGTTTACAGAAAGTATCTCCAAAAATATGTTTTGAAAAATTGATGAACGGAGTTGAGAACGATTATAAACAGCGACAATTGTATAGTCGTGACAGTGGTCCGCTGTCTGAGGGTTAAGAAATTCTTCGACGACACATACAATATTGAATTTAATCTTGCAGTGGTTATTAATATACTATGTATGTAATATGTAAATAATATAAAATATAAAAGATTGAAGAAATATAGTATTTGAAGTATTTGATAGTATTTGAAGAAATATAATTCAGGCAATTTTAAAGATATTATTTATTATATTGCTATAATATTACTAAGCTATGATATGATAGTAGAACTACTGAAGGATAGTTCAAAATGATCCAAATTAAATTTTTAATTTACTTACTTATTATGCAATATTACAATAATGTCACGTAACATTTTGATGAAAGCAATTTTGCAACTTTTAATCAAATATTTTATACCAAGGATCCATTGTTTACCTCTGCATTAAAAATTACTACATTGATTCAATCGTAAAACAACAATAGGTGCTCTAAACTGTATTTGTAGGTTTTACAAACAATTCCTTAATTATGTTTTAAATTATCGATAGTATACTTTATACACTTTTAGAAAACTCTTATTTTGCTTCGAAGAAAGAAAACCTATTTCAAATTTGTTGCAAGAAATGTAAATCATAGAAAGCATCCAACTTCTAGGCGGCGGAAGTTTTACTCTCTCTCTCTCTCTTTTAGGCTGAAGTTTTGAAGATGGTCGCGTCACGGGAAAATCGAATCTGAAGTTCTTTACGGACGTGAAAAGAAATATGAGAGGAACAGAAAATTGCAGTCTGAATGGAAAGAGGGTGGAAAAGGTAGGAAGGGAAGGGAGGAGAGTGCGGAGAAAGATGTGAAACGAAATGAGTTATGTTTTTTAAAAACCTTATCACATTCCCTTCAGTCATATTTCAACTACTGACGATTTTCTGAAACTTTCATTTATATGTAACTTCGCAAAAACGTTGAGAAACCTGTTTTTCATCTATTAGGAAATTTGTTAAGTCAGAAACAAAATAAATATTGTAATTCTAGTTACACACATTAAATTCACGACTTCAATAAAATGCAGTTATATTTTTAATGCAAAAAAAGCATTTACGTAAAATGCGCGTTGAAAATATCAGCAATGTCAAAGTAACCAGGAAATTCTAACCTACTTTGCACAAAGTGTATGTAATTAAATACATTTAGTGTATGAAATTAACTATATTTAGCGCATGTAACTAACTAACTATACATTTAGTGCATTTAACTTGCTATATTTTAGTAAGTGTTAAAGGTTCACATTGTGAAATATATATTTGAAATACTTATTATACGTTTGTAAAATCAATCATATCAGCTAGCATTTCATTTGATACAAAAATAAATTACTATTTGAAATGAAGTATACAGTGGCTCATAAAAGAGTTCGTACATCTTTTAAAACGCAATAAATTTTTTAAAACTGAATTAAATGACTTGCATTTTTTTTAGATGATAGGGGGGGGATTAGTCTACTAGACGATAACTAAAAAGCTTTTAAATTTAAATCCTCGTTTTTTAACTTTTATATGCGTGCTGAAAATTTGATCGAAATCGGTTAACCCAGAGTCGAGCTAAAGGCATAGAAGAATTTTAAAAACTACAGATTTCTTACAGTTTTTGATTAAAATCGTGATAAAACTTGCGATTTTTGCGATCTTTAATTTGTTGTAACTCGTAACAACGTGAATCGATTTCGATAAAATTTTCAATATGCATACAAGTTACCGAGACCTACGAAAGACATCTTTTAAACTTTTGTTATAAGCTCAGATAAAAAAGTTAAAAAACGAGAGATTATTTTTTTGTCATTCCAAGTGATAGTAAAATTAAAAAAAGAAGCATTTCAGTCATCGTTTAGTAGACTAATCCCGCTATCATCTAAAAAAAAAGAATTTTAGTTCAGTCCTTTTTAAAAGGTGTACGAACACTTTTCTGGGCCACTGTATGTATTTCTTAGTTGAAGTACTTTTACCTAGGTCTGCCTATATAATCAACGAATCCCGAGGAAATAATTACCCTTGAAGGCAAGCGTAGACTAAACAGAGATTCAAAGAATCATTCCGAAGCATTACGTATCACGTTAACACACTTTTCAAACGTCTCGGCTTCGAAGCTACTTCCCTCTTCACGGGGAGAACAAGAAATGATTGCATGATGAATCGAAGCTGTTCTGCCCGAATGTCCATCCGAGTGCATTAATCCTCATTAGTCACGCGCAGATAAAGATCCTGATCGAAATTGAAAACGCAATGCAGCACCGATATTCGCGTCTTCTTCACAGAGACCCCGGCCGAACTTGAAATGCGATTTGCGACGTTAATCCCACAGCTGAATTTGATTCGGATAACAAGTCGTACACGTTAATGGTCGCATGAAACACACGACGATGAGGAAACCGGTAGCAGATGTAAGCAGTGCCGCGAGTGAAAATCATCGACTGACTCTGCCGGAGCGACACCGGGAATCTTTCCTGACATTGCTCAAGTGAAAGGCATTTCGCCGTGTGTTTCAGATGCTGGGAGTCTTCGCCGCACATATTCGGATCAACTACAACGCGCTCCAGCGATTCTTGCCGCCTGTGACTAAACGGTATACGACCTGAACGGTAAAGGGGTCTAATGATCTATCGCATGGCGAGTTCTTGCAACGAGTCGCGACGATCGGACGAAGCTTCTAAGTACGTGCGCCGTTTAACTATAGTATCTTATTACACGAACATTTGCCCACCAAAAGTTCCACGGATCAACCTTTGAATGGCCAGCAATTTAGCCTGATCTACAGTGAATCATGAAAGACATTTTTCATTTGTGTTCATTATTAGATCGCGGATCTGTATGCAATATGAACATTGTCCGCATTAATTGCGAAAAGTGGAGATTCCACAAGGATTTGTTTCTTATTCTGTCAATTTTAACAAGTTGCGAAGAATTTATTAGGATCTTTCAATTATTCTGAAGTTTTGGCTGTTGTTAAAAATTTTGACATATCCATTTTTTTAACGAGTGCTACGAAAATACGAAAGATTTGTAGTTCATTTATTCCGCTAGGCATTTAACAGCGGAATAACCAGTTAGCGAATACGTCTACTTATTCTGTATTTTGTGATCAAAATTGTGCTATAGTTAGACAAATTGGGTCGTGACAGATCGAAAATGAAATGCGCCTAGCCACTTTTAGTGATCAGTAGTTCTAATATAGATATTAGAATTACATTTTTTAATATAGATATTAAAAGCGTAAATGTCGCTATCTTTTAGCGTCTCTATCTCATTCATAGCGTCTTTAGCGTCTAGGATAATTGAATAGTTACAATTTGTAATGGTAAAGAGATCAAAAGAATTTAGAAATATCAGTGCATTATTTGTACTCTATTAAAATTATTAAAGAAAGGAAGAAAGCAAATTCTTACAACAGTTTCATATGAATCTAACATAGGACGTGAAGTAAGTGTATAGCTTTTATATGTATACCGTACATAATTTATATATTTCCGGATAATCTAACAATTACACAAAAGACGCAAAACTTCACAAAAATTATACTATACATCTTAAATCGACGAATTTTGCTTTCCCTTTACAATTTTACGATCTAAAGAAGTACATTTTAAAACTCTTTGAAGTAACAAAAGTAAAAAGGAATTTTCGAGAAAACTCGATGCAATCTCACTTTTCAAATTTCTCTTCAAAACTTCAAATTTCTCTAGGACTCTAAAGCCCAGATTCGATCTTTTAGACTTAGAGGCTATAGAAAGAGTCACGCTACTTTCGGTGTATCCATTGTTTACTGCAGATTTTTCGCGAAGATCCACGAAACGATATCGAATGTAAAATCGCCCGTTCCACTTTCCTCGACTTTTTGAACGCCCGTGTTGTCTCTGCCGGGTCATCGGATAAAGACAAGTTGGCCAGGCGCCAACGCGACTCGGAAAGAGTCCAAAGTGTTTTGCATGTTCCCGGAAGTGCACTCGGTGTTGCAGCAGGTCGCCAAGTTTCCCGAGTTTATGCCGAAAATTACGATTAATAAGAATCTATGGGACATTCGCCTGGGAAGTATCAAATGTCGTATAGCGCAAAATTAT